ATGATGGTGGCTGGGTGAGGTCTTCATCTAGCAGTGGATTGACCGCGGCTGATGCTGATGATGGTGGCTGGGTGAGGTCTTCATCCAGCAGTGGATTGACCATGGCTGATGATGATGATGGTTGCTGGGTGAGGTCTTCATCTAGCAGTGGATTGACCACGGCTGTTGATGATGGTGGTGGCTGGGTGAGGTCTTCATCTAGCAGTGGATTGACCACGGCTGTTGATGATGGTGGTGGCTGGGTGAGGTCTTCATCTAGCAGTGGATTGACCACGGCTGATGCTGATGATGGTGGTAGCTGGGTGAGGTCTTCATCTAGCAGTGGATTGACCACGGCTGATGATGATGCTGGCTGGGTGAGATCTTCATCTAGCAGTGGATTGACCACGGCTGATGATGATGATGGTGGCTGGGTGAGGTCTTCATCTAGCAGTGGATTGACCACGGCTGATGATGATGATGGTGGCTGGGTGAGGTCTTCATCTAGCAGTGGATTGACCACGGCTGATGATGATGGTGGTGGCTGGGTGAGGTCTTCATCTAGCAGTGGATTGACCACGGCTGATGATGATGGCTGTGTGAGGTCTTCATCTAGCAGTGGATTGACCACGGCTGATGATGATGGTTGCTGGGTGAGGTCTTCATCCAGCAGTGGATTGACCACGGCTGATGATGATGGTGGTAGCTGGGTGAGGTCTTCATCTAGCAGTGGATTGACCACGGCTGATGATGGTGGCTGTGTGAGGTCTTCATCTAGCAGTGTATTGACCACGGCTGATGATGATGGTGGTAGCTGGGTGAGGTCTTCATCTAGCAGTGGATTGACCACGGCTGATGATGATGATGGTGGCTGGGTGAGGTCTTCATCTAGCAGTGGATTGACCACGGCTGATGATGATGATGGTGGCTGGGTGAGGTCTTCATGTAGCAGTGGATTGACCACGGCTGATGATGATGATGGTGGCTGGGTGAGGTCTTCATCTAGCAGTGGATCGACCACGACTGATGATGGTGATGATGATGGTGGCTGGGTGAGGTCTTCATCTAGCAGTGGATTGACCACGGCTGATGCTGATGATGGTGGCTGGGTGAGGTCTTCATCCAGCAGTGGATTGACCACGGCTGATGATGATGGTTGCTGGGTGAGGTCTTCTTCTAGCAGTGGATTGACCAAGGCTGATGATGATGGTTGCTGGGTGAGGTCTTCTTCTAGCAGTGGATTGACCACGGCTGATGCTGATGATGGTGGCTGGGTGAGGTCTTCATCCAGCAGTGGATTGACCACGGCTGATGATGGTTGCTGGGTGAGGTCTACATCTAGCAGTGGATTGACCAAGGCTGATGATGATGGTTGCTAGGTGAGGTCTTCATCTAGCAGTGGATTGACCAAGGCTGATGATGATGGTGGCTGGGTGAGGTCTTCTTCTAGCAGTGGATTGACCACGGCTGATGATGATGGTGGTGGCTGGGTGAGGTCTTCATCTAGCAGTGGATTGACCACGGCTGTTGATGATGGTGGTGGCTGGGTGAGGTCTTCATCTAGCAGTGGATTGATCACGGCTGATGATGATGATGGTGGCTGGGTGAGGTCTTCATCTAGCAGTGGATTGACCACGGCTGATGATGATGGTGGTGGCTAGGTGAGGTCTTCATCTAGCAGTGGATTGACCACGGCTGATGATGATGATGATGGTGGCTGGGTGAGGTCTTCATCTAGCAGTGGATGGATGCCGTGACGCGGCTCCACGTGACCACCGAGGCATTGTTTGCAGCCACCTGCAGTTTCCGTGGTGGAAATTCCACATTCCTATGGCAGGTGAGGGATTTGAAGAGGGATTGGTTGGGTGGTGTGGAGTGGGGGAGGGGGGGGGCGAGTCTACCCAATAGGACACAACCACCCTAAAGTGTTGCTCATTTTATCGACCACAGAGGGAGATGATGTTGATGATGGGCCGTATCAATCCTCCATCCCAACCAGGGCCTCGTGCACGCACAGTGGCACCAATACAGACTCGTCAGCGCCCAACGAATAACAACTGCGACTCAGCAATGATTAGGACTTTCTAAATCACAACGGACCATCCGTTACGTGGAAACAACAAAGACACCAATAATGTCTCGACATCACGGTGGATAGGAGATGTTAACTACCTCGCCTGGTACACAGGAGGTCGTGGGTTCAATCCCGACACTGACGATGCCTGCTGCTGTATATTTGGAGTTTGCGTGTCTCTCTCTCTCTCCCCGTGGGAGTGATCGGCGTAGGTGATTGATAGGAGGGGGTAAGTGATGTGAGTGGTGTGAGTGGATGAGTGATGTGAGTGGGTGATGTGAGTGGTGTGCGTGGCAAAACAACCCCTTACCTCCTTGTTGTGCCAGACGGGTAACCTTGTCGTGGACAGTGGCGTGGGGGGGAGGGCCAATTCCGATTGGCCTTTCCCCTCAGGGTGTCTGTGACCACCACAGCGGCTAAACGGGGGATCTGGACGGGTGCGAGGGGCTGGTAACCCCTCCACCTTCAATAAAGTACCACTAAAGCACGACTGAAATATCTAACTAATAAGCTTGTGCCGGAGGCCCCGGGAGGACAGGTGGCTATGACGTCTCCTGGCCAAACCCCATTTGGCGGAGCCAGGAGATTGAATCTTTACCCTCGGGGCTCCTCCAGAAACCACAAAAAGCCACTTCGGGTGGCCACGTGGAATGTTCAAACGCTCACTGCGGAGGAGAGGCTGCCACTCCTCTGTCGGGAGCTGGACCGATACCGCCTGGATCTCTGTGGCATTCAGTAGGTCCGGTGGACCGGCTCTGGCTCCTGCCACCATGAGGGGTGAACAGACCTCTACTCGGGGCAGGAAACTGCCAAACAAAAGAATGAAGGGGGTGTGGGAGCGTGGTGTTGAGGTGTGGGAAGCTGTAAGCCCCAGGCTACTTTGGGCTCGCCTTCCCATCAACGGGAGGCGAGGAGTGGTGGTCGTGGTTACTTATGCCCCCAACGAAGACGAACATCCGTGGAGGGATGCAGGCATCTCTCCACGGGATGACCTCTTGTCACAGGTGCTGGCTAAAGTGGCCCCTCGGGATAGAGTAATCTTATTGGGTGACTTCAATGCCCGAGTTGGTGATGATGCTGGCACCTGGTCTGGAGTGATTGGAAGGCATGGGCCAGATCAGCTCAATAACAATGGTAGGAGTCTGCTAGATTTGGGTGCAGCCCATGGGTTTGTAATTATCAACACGCTGTTCAGGCATCGGCGCATCCACACAACATCATGGATGCATGCGATGTCCAAGCAAGAAAATCTGCTGGACTACATAGTGACGGACCAGCGAATGCGAGTCCATGTCCTTCACACCAGGGCCTACCGTGGAGCTGATCTGCCCTCTGACCATCGACTAGTCATCTGTAAGATGCGCCTGCCATTCTTCCACTCCAGTGGTGGGTGTACACCCAGGACCCAATTCCAACCTAAGGTTACCTGGTCTCAGATAGCTGATGAAAGTTGCAAGCGATAATTTAATCATCGCTTGCGGCTGGGGTTGGCATCGTCCCCGACTCCTCGTGATGTCGAGGGTAAATGGGCGTGGTTTAGGACTGTGACTCATGCAACTGCAATGGCTGCTTTGGGTACGCGGTCCAGACCTCCCCAGAGACCCTGGCTGACAGAGGAGGTGTTCAGGATGGTTGAGAAAAAGCGACAGGCCCACTCTAATCGTCTACAGCATTCCACGTCAGAGAATGAGGAGGCTTACTGCAGCCTTCGCTCGGAGGTTCGGAGACCCATGAGGCACTGCAAAGATGGGTGGTGGTTGCGGGTTGCTGAGGAGATGGAGTCTGCCTCATTGGCCCGCGATCACAAATCCCTATTTAATTCCATCAAAAAAGTAACCTGCAGCGCCACACCAATTACCATCATTAGGGGAAAAAACGGTGATCCAATCTCCAACCCCCAGGAACAGGTTTGCAGATTTGCTGAGCATTTCTGTGAGGTCCTGGGGGAGGGAAAATCCCTCAGTTGTGGAGAGAGTGGAGAGTTTCCATACCTTGGCAGTGTGCTCATGACCGGCTCCAGTTTAACAGCAGAGGTCTCACTCCGAATCAGTCGAGCGGCATTATCTTTTCATCGGTTGCGTAACGCTGTGTGGAAGCTACCTGGTCTATCGCTCCGCACGAAGCTTCAGGTCTTCTTGGCCACGGTCATTCCCTCCCTTCTCTACGCTTGCGAAACGTGGACACCCCTAATGGAACATCTTCGCCGGTTAGAAACATTTAGGCTGGCCTGCCTACGATCCATCCTGGGTTTAACCAGGCTGGATTGTGTGAGGAGCTCACAAATCCTCGAAAGATCTTGGCAAAGTCCCATCGGTGAGCTCCTCCGGCAGGCAAGGCTGCGTTGGCTGGGTCATGTAGCCCGCATGCCCAGCCACCGCATGCCTAAACAGCTTTTGTTCGGCCGGATCAAGGGGACTAAACGGGCGCGGCACGGGCTAGAAAAGAGATGGAGTGATGTGGTACAGGAGGACGTGGAGCTGAGTGGACTTGCCGATGACTAGTACCAGCGGTGTCAAGATCGGCCTCATTGGAGGAGGCACGTGAAGGATGCTACTGGGCAGTTGGAGGCAGTCGCCCTCCAACAACAACGGAGGGCGGAGGAGCGACGCTCACAACAACGTGCGGAGCGCCGGGTGGCTAAAGCACAGCAGGTTGGCACAGTAGGGGGCACAGGTGGTGCATCAGCCAGTCATCTCAGTCAGTCGACCCGTGGCACCTGGGTCTGCCCCGTGACCTCCTGCCAAACGGGCGTTCGACACTTCACGTGGCCTCAGGGTACACATGGCCTGGGACAAGCGTCCTGGTGACGTCACCGTCACGTAGTGGCGAATGGCGGTTGTTGTTGTGAGTGGTGTGAGTGGTGTGAGTGGTATGAGTGGTGTGAGACCACCCCCCCCCCCCGCTACTGCTACCCGTCCAGCAGCTGATAGAGCTTGGCACGACGTACGGTTGAGCAGGAGGCTGCTGTTGGCTCCCCCGAGCGAGTTGAAGACAAGGCAGGTGTAGTTGCCGTAGAGCTCCTCCGTCACGTTGGGAAAGGTGAGCACCGAGCGACGTCCACTCACGGTGATCAGCAGACCCCGCACGCCACTCACCAGCCTGGGACGGGGGGGGGGGACAGTTGTGGGTGAGTGGTGGGAGTGATGGTAGTGGGTGAGTGATGGGAGTGATGGGAGTGATGTGAGTGATGGGAGTGATGTGAGTGGGTGAGTGATGGGAGTGGGTGAGTGATGGTAGTGGGTGAGTGATGGGAGTGATGGGAGTGATGTGAGTGATGGGAGTGATGTGAGTGGGTGAGTGATGGGAGTGCGTGAGTGATGGGAGTGGGTGAGTGATGGGAGTGGGTGAGTGATGGGAGTGATGGGACTGGGTGAGTGATGGGAGTGATGTGAGTGGGTCAGTGATGGAAGTGGGTGAGTAATGGGAGTGGGTGAGTGATGGGAGTGGGTGAGTGATGGAAGTGGGTGAGTGATGGGAGTGGGTGAGTGATGGGAGTGTGTGAGTGATGGGAGCGGGTGAGTGATGGGAGTGGGTGAGTGATGGGAGTGGGTGAGTGATGGGAGTGGGTGAGTGATGGGAGTGGGTGAGTGATGGGAGTGGGTGAGTGATGGGAGTGGGTGAGTGGTGGGAGTGATGGGAGTGGGTGAGTGATGTGAGTGATGGGAGTGATGTGAGTGGGTGAGTGATGGGAGTGGGTGAGTGATGGTAGTGGGTGAGTGATGGGAGTGATGGGAGTGATGTGAGTGATGGGAGTGATGTGAGTGGGTGAGTGATGGGAGTGCGTGAGTGATGGGAGTGGGTGAGTGATGGGAGTGGGTGAGTGATGGGAGTGATGGGACTGGGTGAGTGATGGGAGTGATGTGAGTGGGTCAGTGATGGAAGTGGGTGAGTAATGGGAGTGGGTGAGTGATGGGAGTGGGTGAGTGATGGAAGTGGGTGAGTGATGGGAGTGGGTGAGTGATGGGAGTGTGTGAGTGATGGGAGCGGGTGAGTGATGGGAGTGGGTGAGTGATGGGAGTGGGTGAGTGATGGGAGTGGGTGAGTGATGGGAGTGGGTGAGTGATGGGAGTGGGTGAGTGATGGGAGTGGGTGAGTGGTGGGAGTGATGGGAGTGGGCGAGTGATGGGAGTGGGTGAGTGATGGGAGTGATGGGAGTGAGTGAGTGATGAGAGTGATGGGAGTGGGTGAGTGATGGGAGTGGGTGAGTGATGGGAGTGGGTGAGTAATTGGAGTGGGTGAGTGATAGGAGTGGGTGAGTGATTGGAGTGATGGGAGTGGGTGAGTGATGGGAGTGATGGGAGTGGGCGAGTGATGGGAGTGGGTGAGTGATGGGAGTGGGTGAGTGATGGGAGTGATAGGAGTGGGTGAGTGATGGGAGCGGGTGAGTGATGGGAGCGGGTGAGTGATGGGAGTGGGTGAGTGATGGGAGTGATGGGAGTGGGTGAGTGATGTGAGTGGGTGAGTGATGGGAGTGGGTGAGTGATGGGAGTGGGTGAGTGATGGGAGTGGGCGAGTGATGGGAGTGATGTGAGTGGGTGAGTGATGGGAGTGGGTGAGTGATGGGAGTGGGTGAGTGATGGGAGTGATGGGAGTGGGTGAGTGATGGGAGTGGGTGAGTGATGGGAGTGGGTGAGTGATAGGAGTGGGTGAGTGATTGGAGTGGGTGAGTGATAGGAGTGGGTGAGTGATTGGAGTGGGTGAGTGATAGGAGTGGGTGAGTGATAGGAGTGGGTGAGTGATTGGAGTGATGGGAGTGGGTGAGTGATGGGAGTGGGTGAGTGATGGGAGTGGGTGAGTGATTGGAGTGATGGGAGTGGGTGAGTGATTGGAGTGATGGGAGTGGGTGAGTGATAGGAGTGGGTGAGTGATTGGAGTGATGGGAGTGGGTGAGTGATGGGAGTGGGTGAGTGATGGGAGTGGGTGAGTGATAGGAGTGGGTGAGTGATTGGAGTGATGGGAGTGGGTGAGTGATTGGAGTGATGGGAGTGGGTGAGTGATGGGAGTGGGTGAGTGATGGGAGTGGGTGAGTGATGGGAGTGGGTGAGTGATAGGAGTGGGTGAGTGCTGGGAGTGGGTGAGTGATGGGAGTGGGTGAGTGATAGGAGTGGGTGAGTGATTGGAGTGATGGGAGCGGGTGCTGTCTCTCTGACATCGTTTTTTTTCTTTCCCTGGGCCTCATTCATCATCGCGAGCTCGCTCCGCGTGACACAAACATCGGGCGGCACGAACGAAACTCAGCAAAGCAAAGCAGCACCCGAAACGAAAACTCCATGCCAAAATGTTCCCCCTCCCTCGCTCCCCTCCCTCCCTGCCTGCCCCTCCATCTCTTCCCTCCCTCCTGTCCCTCCCTCCACTCAACTCCCTCCCTTCTTCCCCCCACTCCCTCCTTCCCCCCACTCCCTCCTTCCCCCCACTCCCTCCATTTTTTTGTACTCCCAACTTTTTTTTTATATCTGCCACAGTCCCGCGAGATGAACACAAGCGGGCCGCAAAAAGGGGACGGCTATAATTTATGACTTTTTTCGCTTCATGTGATGTGTGTGCTTTGTCACTTGCCTTAGCTACCAATTGTCCCCACATATACACCACAAACACGCGCGCGAGCGCTACTCCTCTGCTAGATGTTGAATTCGACTGCAGCCCTTCTCCCCCGCGAGAGGGGAAGTTTAATTGTATCCCGAGTCCAGGGTTGGTCGCGGGGGTCCCGGTAGTCTGGAACTGCCCTCCCCACTACCGTCCGTGCTACCAACTCCCTGCACCTGTTCAGGTCCAGACTCAAGACCCTCCTCCTCCTCCTCATCCCTCCCTCCCTCCCTCTCCTCCTCATCCCTCCCTCCCCCCACTCCTCTCCATCCATCCGTCCCTCCACTTCCCTCCCTCCCTGTCCCTCAATCTCTTCCCTCCCTGTTTCCCTCCCCATCTCTCACTACCTTCCTCCCTCCCCTCCCTCCCTCCCTCCCCCCGCTGAACTCTCGACATCCATCCCTCCACCCGTCTCTCCCTGTCCCTCCCTCCCCCTTCCTCCCTCCCCCTCCCTGCCCCCACTCCACTCCCTCCCTCCACCCGCCCCTCTCCCTCCAGACCCCTCTCCACCGCCACCTCCCAGAACCCATTCGCCCGTCGGGGTAAGGCGGCAGGCGTTTTCATAACACGGCGGTGTTACGAGATTTTGATTGAGCTCGCGGCTGCCGTAATGTGAAGCCACACTCACGGGGGGGGGGGGGGGGGGGGGGTGGGCAGAGAGACAAGAAGAGATAGAGGGAGGGGGAGAAAGGGAGAGAGAAAGAGTGGGAGAAGGGAGAGGGTAGAGATAGCGAGAGAGAGAGTGAGCAGGAGAGAGTAAGAGAGAGTAAGAGAGTGGGAGAGAGAACGTGAGAGAGAGAGAGAGAGCTAGAGAGTGGGAGAGAGAGAGAGTAAGAGAGAGTAAGAGAGAGTAAGAGAGTGGGAGAGAGAACGTGAGAGAGAGAGAGAGCAGGAGAGAGCTAGAGAGTGGGAGAGATAGCGAGAGAGAGAGCAGGAGAGAGTAAGAGAGAGTAAGAGAGTGGGAGAGAGAACGTGAGAGAGAGACAGGGAGCTAGAGAGAGTAAGAGAGTGGGAGAGAGAACGTGAGAGAGAGAGAGAGCTAGAGAGAGTAAGAGAGAGTAAGAGAGTGGGAGAGAGAACGCGAGAGAGAGAGATAGAGAGAGTAAGAGAGTGGGAGAGAGAACGCGGGAGAGAGGGAGAGAGAGAGCTAGAGAGAGTAAGAGAGTGGGAGAGATAGCGAGAGAGAGAGGGAGTAGAAGAGAGCTAGAGAGAGTAAGAGAGTGGGAGAGATAGCGAGAGAGAGAGCAGGAGAGAGTAAGAGAGAGTAAGAGAGTTGGAGAGAGAACGTGAGAGAGAGAGAGCAGGAGAGAGTAAGAGAGAGTAAGAGAGTGGGAGAGAGAACGTGAGAGAGAGAGAGAGCAGGAGAGAGCTAGAGAGAGTAAGAGAGTGGGAGAGAGAACGCGAGAGAGAACGCGAGAGAGAGAGAGCTAGAGAGAGTAAGAGAGTGGGAGAGAGAACGTGAGAGAGAGCGAGAGAGAGAGCAGGAGAGAGCTACCGTCCCCCCGCCATCACCGTATTGTCGTGACCATTGCTCTCCGACTCCCCCGTGACACTCGTCCCACTACCCCCCTGGCTGCTGTGTGGGGTCCGGGCCACCGACCCTCAATTCCCTGCCCCCCTGCGCCCCCGACTTTGCGGCTGCCCACGTCACCATGTTTCAATTGACGCAGTGGTCTGTTTTTAAGCTCGCGGTGCGCTTTGCCATTCAGAGGCGGTGTGTCGCTGTAAGCTCGCTCAGCGGCCTGGTGCTGAGGCAACCAAGCGTCAAGTTGGTCCTGACGGCATACGCCGCCGACGACGTCCTCCTCCTCATCCTGCGCTCCCTGGATGATGTCGCCCTGCTGCATGAGTGCCAGGAGGTCTTTTCGAAAGCCTCCTCATCAAAAATGAACTGGCAAAAGTGCAGCGGCCTGCTGGTTGGAGCGTGGGACATGACCGAGTGTCCCGAGAAGGCAAAAGTCATCAATTGGAGCACAACATCGCTGCTGCACCACCTGGGAGTGTTCCTCGGACCAGAGGTGGAACCACCGCAGAGGAACTGTGTCGAGCTGGAGGAGAAGGTGAAGGAGCGGCTGGGCACCTGGAGTCGCCCGTGCAAGTTCCTCACCTTCAGGACAAAGACGTTGGTGGTGAACCAGCTGGTGACGTCCATGCTGTGGCACCGACTCTTCTCCCTGCACTCCCCCATGAGCCTCGTCAACGCACTTCAGAAGCGAGTCCTCGACTTCTTCTGGTCGGGTGGAGGACACCGGAGTCGCGGCTGGGGTCCTGGCCCTGCCACTGGACGAGGGCGGTCACGGGCTGGTGTGCGTGCGGAGTCAGCTGGCCACCTTCCGACTGCAGGCCGCGCAAAAGTTCCTGAACGCCGCCCCGGCACCGGCCTGGAGCGTCACGGCCTCCTTCCTCCTGAAACAGCTGGGGGAGGGTCTGCAGTGCTCCAAGCAACTATTCTACATGGACCTGCGGGGCCTCCCACTGGGACAGCTGCCACCCTTCTACAGAAGCGTCCTGCAGACATGGAGCTCCCTCGCCGTCAGGAGGAAGAACCAACCACAATTGGCCGAGGATTTGGTCTTCGAACCGATCCTCAGGAACCCGCAGACAAAGCTGCCATCTACCACCACCACCACCACCCCAGGCATGGAGAGGCGCCTCGCCAATGCGCGGCTCACCAGGATGGGAGATCTGGTGGAGCCTGAAACACGGAGGCCGGTGGCTCGGACCAGCAGACGTGGCCACAAAGACAGGGGGGCTGCAGTCGCTCCGGGTGGCTGCCCGGATCCTGGCCGAAAGCCAAGGGGGCCTTCTCAGCGGCAGCGGGGAGAACGCCCCCCATCGGCGTTGGGGATGACGAGGCCCCTCTTGGTCCCCCTCCACCGGAGCTCTCAGTCGTGCCACTGCATCGCCAATGCCGACAAATGAAGGCGGATCACGACCTGTGCCGGCTGGAAGACCTGCCGGAGGTGGCCTTCGGAAACGTCAAGAGGAAGGTGGTCTACTCCTACATGGTCCGGTTCCACCAACAGGACACCCTGAGGAGCCACAAGGACCATGCCTGGAGGAAAGCCTCTGCCCTGCGTCTCTCCGGAGAGGCCTCGCTGGAGGCAACTCTACTCCAGCCCGACGTACAACCGCATCGGCGACCTCAGCTGGAGCATCGCCCACGGCACTGTCACCACCAACGTCTCCCTGGCGCGCTTCACCGACACGTCCCCAGAGTGCCGGTACTGCAGTAAAGTGGAGATGGTGGCGCACCAATACGTGGAGTGCAAGAGCCTGGACTCGCTGTTCAAGGGCGACGGACCCCAACATCTTCAGGGGCTGGTCAACGTGCTCTTCGGCTACGCCAAGCTCGCCGTATACAGGGCGAGGAAGGTGGCCCTGGAGGGGCAACGTCTGGCCAGCAGCCTGGGCATCTTCCGCGCTCTGGTCGGAGCCAGGGTGTGTGTGTGGGCTGGAGTTCCGCCGTGCCCGGCTGACCCACGCCGTGCCGGCCTTCAAGGAGCAGTGGGCGCTGGAGGAGGCCGTGTGCTCGGTGGCAGATGACGGTAGAGAGCTCCGTGCATGCAGATCGTGAGCTACCCGTCGGAGGCCGTTTGACTGTGGGAAGGGCTGCGTGCTGGTGCAGCACTTGTCGTAGTTATAAAGAAAGAGAGCAAGAGAGTGAGCGAGAGAGAGCCAAATTGAGTAGGAAGAGAGGGGCAGAGAGAGAGGGGGGGCAGAGAGGGGGGTAGAGAGAGAGGAGGGGCAGAGAGGGGGGGGGGTAGAGAGAGAGGGAAGGGGTAAGGGTATTTCATTTAAAATGGGGCGGGGGGTTTACGTAAAGCAAAGCATAAAAAAACGAAATGATGAACGGAGCAAAGTGCCGACTACACCGAGCATCTTCTTGTTTCCTCTGATCGTAATAAAAAGAGAGAGAGAGGGAGCAGGAGAGAGCTAGAGAGAGTAAGAGAGTGGGAGAGAGAGATGAGGCACGTGATGCTCCGCGTATGTATGACGAGGCACCGCGTGCGTGTGACGAGGCCCTGCATGTGTATGATGAAGCCCCACGAGTGTATGATGAAGCCCCGCGTGTGTATGACGAGGCCCTGCGTGTGTATGACGGGGCCCCACGTGAGTATGATGAGGCCCTGCGTGTGTATGACGGGGCCCCACGTGTGTATGATGAGGCCCCGCGTGTGTTTGATGAGGCCCTGCATGCGTATCATGAGGCCCTGCGTGTTTGTGACGAGGCCCTGCATGTGTATGATGAGGCCCTTCGTGTGTGTGACGAGGCCCCACGTGTGTGTGACGAGGCCCCGCGTGTGTATGACGAGGCCCGGCGTGTGTATGATGAGGCCCTGCGTGTGTATGATGAGGCCCTTCGTGTGTATGACGAGGCACCGCGTGTGTATGATGAGGCCCCGCGTGTGTTTGATGAAGCCACACGTGTGATTAATGAGGCCCTGCGTGTGTGTGACGAGGCCCCGCGTGTGTATGATGAGGCCCTGCGTGTGTATGATGAGGCGCCGCGTGTGTATGATGAGGCCCTGCGTGTGTATGATGAGGCCACACGTGTGTATGATGAGGCCACACGGGTGTATGATGAGGCCCTACGTGTGTATGATGAGGCGCCGCGTGTGTATGATGAGGCCCAACGTGTGTATGACGAGGCCCTGCGTGTGTATGATGAGGCCCCGCGTGTGTATGATGAGGCCCTACGTGTGTATGATGAGGCGCCGCGTGTGTATGACGAGGCCACACGTGTGTATGACGAGGCCCCACGTGTGTATGATGAGGCCCGGCGTGTGTATGATGAGGCGCCGCGTGTGTATGACGAGGCCACACGTGTGTATGACGAAGCCCCACGTGTGTATGACGAGGCAGACTGTGTGTGACGAGGCCACACGTGTGTATGATGAGGCCCTGCGTGTGTATGACGAGGCCACACGTGTGTATGATGAGGCCCTGCGTGTGTATGACGAGGCCACACGTGTGTATGATGAGGCCCTGCGTGTGTATGACGAGGCACCGCGTGTGTATGATGAGGCCCTACGTGTGTATGATGAGGCCCTGCGTTTGTATGATGAGGCCCTGCGTGTATATGATGAGACCCTGCGTGTGTATGATGAGGCCCTGTGTGTGTATGATGAGGCCCTGCATGTGTATGATGAGGCCCCGCATGTGTATGATGAGGCCCTGTGCTTGTATGATGAGGCCACGCGTGTGTATGATGAGGCCACGCGTGTGTATGATGAGGCCACACGTGTGTATGATGAAGCCTTGTGTGTGTATGATAAGGCCCGGTGTGTGTATGATAAGGCCCCGTGTGTGTATGATAAGGCCCTGTGTGTGTATGACGAGGCCCGTGTGTGTATGATAAGGCCCGGTGTGTGTATGAGGCTCCGCGTGTGTATGAGGAGTAGGCGCTGCTGCGTTGTCAGGAGACGCTACCGTCAGCAAGAATATATTCGTGTTTTTGCTTTGGGCCTCACGGGAGGCTTACAGTAGCAAGTTCACTTTTTTTACATTTGATTGCATCCTGATTGCATCCCGATTGTATCCCGATTGCATCCAGATTGCATTCTGATTGCCTCCTGGCTGCAACTTCACTGCATCACGATTGTGTCTCAGTTGCATACCGATTGCATCCCAGGTACTCATTTGAGGTCGAGTAGACCTAGGCGAAGTCCCAGGACCCATTCAAATAATCGTCACTGGGTGTCGTTGCCTGTGAGCGGGAATTGAACTCGGGTCGTAGACTGGTTCGTAGCACAGCGCGCCGTAGCTAAACCCACACCAACAGTGGAACTGCCATTGGCCCAAAACACTTGCATCCAAATGCTTGAAGAAAAAAAAACCCACTACTATCTGAAAATGACTCTACGGGGCATCCGTTTAAAACAATTGGAGGCCTTACAAGCTCATCGGGTAATTTCTCCTCCGAGGCTGAGTGAATATTCTGAGGAGTTCTGATTCTATAGCCATGGTATAAGAGGCTGCGGTGTAGACCACGTGATGTAGTGGTCGTGGTATGGAGATCGTGGTGTAGAGGTCATGGTGTAGACCACGTGGTGTAGACCACGTGGTGTAAACCACGTGGTGTAGTGGCTGTGGTGTACAGGACGTGCTGTAGTGGCTGTGGTGTAGAGGCGATGGTATAGACCACGTGATGTAGTGGCCGTGGTGTAGAGGCCATGGTGTAGACCACGTGGTGTAGTGGCTGTGGTGTAGACCACGTGGTGTAGACCACGTGGTGTAGTGGCTGTGGTGTAGTGGCTGTGGTGTAGACCACGTGCTGTAGTGGCTGTGGTGTAGACCACGTGGTGTAGACCACGTGGTGTAGTGGCTGTGGTGTAGTGGCTGTGGTGTAGACCACGTGGTGTAGTGGCTGTGGTGTAGTGGCTGTGGTGTAGACCACGTGGTGTAGACCACGTGATGTAGTGGCCATGGTGTAGACCAGGTGCTGTAGTGGCTGTGGTGTAGACCACGTGGTGTAGACCACGTGCTGTCGTGGCTGTGGCGTAGAGGCCGTGGTGTAGACCACGTGGTGTAGACCACGTGGTGTAGTGGCCATGGTGTAGACCACGTGGTGTAGACCACGTGGTGTAGACCACGTGCTGTAGTGGCTGTGGTGTAGAGGCCGTGGTATAGACCACGTGGTGTAGACCACGTGCTGTAGTGGCTGTGGTGTTGACCACGTGGTGTAGACCACGTGGTGTAGTGGCTGTGATGTAGAGGCCGTGGTGTAGACCACGTGCTGTAGTGGCTGTGGTGTAGACCACGTGGTGTAGACCACGTGCTGTAGTGGCTGTGGTGTTGACCACGTGGTGTAGACCACGTGGTGTAGTGGCTGTGGTGTAGAGGCCGTGGTATAGACCACGTGGTGTAGACCACGTGGTGTAGTGGCTGTGGTGTAGAGGCGAGGCGGCCTGGGGTGGTGACCTCTTGTCGTTGCGGAACCACTCGAAGTTGGGCGCTGGCAGGGCCGCTGTCTCGCAGCGCAGGGATCCCTGGTGGCCCAGCATCATGCCCAGGTTCCTCACGTCCACGTACGTCGGGGCGACTACGTTGGGGAGAGATGTGGGGGGGGGGGTAGGGGGTGGTTAGTGTGGAGGGTGGGTGGGGGGGTGATCGTGGTGCCATGAGTGTGTGAGAATCTAGCCCTCTCTATTTCACCCACAGACAGTGTTCTATGGGTGTAATAGGCTCACGAAAGTGGATATCGCAGAGCTACATCTGAGATCCCTTCTTGGTCTCCTTCTTCTTCTTCAAGTGACGACACAGTGCACACAGAGAGCTACCATCGCCCAGCACCGGCACGCACAACCACGTCATCGCTCTGCATGTCACGTCACAATGCCCCCACCACGCCCCTCCCCTCCCCACTTCCCCTGGTGGGGGTCGGGTGGGGTGTGGGTGGGCGAGTGGTGTGGGCGTGGTGGTATGGGGGTGGGGGCGTGGTGGGGTAGGTGTGTGGGCGTGGTGGGGTAGGGGTGTGGTCGTGGTGGGGTGGGGGTGTGGGCGTGGTGGTGTGGGGGTAGGGGGGTGGTGGGGTAGGAGTGTGGGCGTGGCGGGGGTGGGGGCGTGGCGGGGTAGGGGTGTGGGCGTGGCGGGGTAAGAGTGGGGCGTGGTGGTGTGGGGGTAGGGCGTGGTGGGGTAGGTGTGTGGGCGTGATGGGGTAGGGGGTGTGGGCGTGGCGGGGTAGGGGTGTGGGCGTGGTGGGGTGGGGGTGTGGGCGTGGTGGGGTAGGGGTGTGGGCGTGGCGGGGTAGGGGTGTGGGCGTGGTGGTGTGGGGGTAGGGGCGTGGTGGGGTAGGAGTGTGGGCGTGGCGGGGGTGGGGGCGTGGCGGGGTAGGGGTGTGGGCGTGGTGGGGTGGGGGCATTGTGGGTAGGGGTGTGGGCGTGGTGGTATGGGGGTGGGGGCGTGGCGGGGTAAGGGTGTGGGCGTGGTGGGGTGGGGGTGTGGGCGTGGTGGGGTGGGGGTGTGGGCGTGGTGGTGTGGGGGTAGGGGCGTGGTGGGGTAGCGGTGTGGGCGTGGCGGGGTAAGGGTGGGGGGCGTGGCTGGGTGGGTGTGTGGGTGGGAGGGTTCCGGCGCCACTCACAGTTGACGGTGACGCGCACCCTGCGAGTGTCTGGTGACGCGACGTCGTTGGTCGCGCTACACTGGTACTCGCCCGCCTGGTCGCGCGAGATGCCCTCGATCTCCAGGTACTCGCCCTCGTACTCGTCATCCTTGGCTACGGTGGTGGGGGGGGGCAAGGGGGGGCAAGGTGGTGGGGGGGGGGGGGCAAGGGGGGAGCAAGGTGGTGGGGGGGGGGCAAGGGGGGAGCAAGGTGGGGGGGGGGGGGCATGAATGGGATACGGAGGGTATTTATAACTCGTAGCGCGCGGTGCTCTTTGTGTGTGTGTGTGTGTGCGTTGAAATTCTTTAGCTCCGTAGGTAGGGAACCGCGCTCATCGGAGGTGACGGGGGACGGACACCAAACGAAAGTTCACAAAACAACAAGCAGCTCTACTGGATGGAGTTGTTCAATTTAGTATCGTGGACAGTAGTGTAGTATATAGTAATGTAGTGTGCAGACTAGTGTATAACAGCGTAGTGTAGTATGCATTGTATAGTGTAGTGTATAGTAGCGTAGCATATAGTAGTTGAGTGGTGTAGTGTATAGCGTAGTGTATAGCAGTGTAGTGCAGTATGCAGTGTATAGTGTAGTGTATAGTGTAGTGTGTAGTGTATAGTGTAGTGTACTGTGTTGAACTTCTTTCGCACCGCACGTAGCCAACCGCGCTAATCAGAGGCGGTGTGTGACGGACAATAAACCAAACACAACAACAACAACAACAAGCATTTTTAAAGAAATGAGTTTGTCAATCTAGATGATGATGATGCTTTTAAAGTGCGTAACTCTCGGCGGCTTCCTGATATCGTAACGGAAGGAGCGTTCCAGACGACACGCGTCTGCAAGCAAGGATGAACTCTCAGAGAGAGACAGAGAGAGAGACAGAGAAAGACAGAGAGAGACAGAGAGAAAGACAGAGAGAGACAGAGAGAGACAGAGAGAGAAAGAGAGAGACAGAGGGGAGAGACAGAGAGAGACAGAGAGAGAGAGACAGAGAAAGACAGAGAGAGACAGAGAGAGAGACAGAGAGAGACAGAGAGAGAAAGAGAGAGACAGAGGGGAGAGACAGAGAGAGAGACAGAGAGAGAGAGACAGAGAAAGACAGAGAGAGACAGAGAGAGAGAGACAGAGAGAGACAGAGAGAGACAGAGGAGAGAGACAGAGAGAGACAGAGAGAGACAGAGAGAGAGACAGAGAGAGACAGAGAGAGAGACAGAGGAGAGAGACAGAGAGAGACAGACAGAGAGACAGAGAGAGAGAGACAGAGACAGAGAAAGACAGAGAGAGAGACAGAGAGAGACAGAGAGAGAGAGAGACAGAGAGAGAGACAGAGAGAGACAGAGAGAGACCCAGAGAGAGAGAGAGACAGAGAGAGACAGAGAGAGACCCAGAGAGAGAGAGAGAGAGACAGAGAGAGACAGAGAGAGAGACAGAGACAGAGAGAGAGACAGAGAGAGACAGAGAGAGACAGAGAGAGACCCAGAGAGAGACAGAGAGAGAGCTCTGCATGCAGAGATCTGAGCTACCCGTCGGAGGCCGTAGTAGGACTGCGAGGAGGGCTGGATGCAGATGCAGCACTTGTCGTAGTTAAAAATTAAAATAAAACATAGAAAACAGGGGGAACATAGACATAGAGTATAGAGAGAGGGGGGGGGGGGCGGGTAGAGTGAGATGATAGAGAGAGAGAGGGAAGGGGTAGGAAGGAGGAGAGCAGAGCGTGACATATTTTGTGAAATCTTTCATTTGAAAAGGGGGGAGGGGGGGGGCACATATAAAGCAAAGAATTGAAAAAAACCGAAATGATGAACGAAGCAAAGTGCCGACTACACCGAGCATCTTCTCGTTTCCTCTGACCGTAAAAAAAAAGATAAAAAAGAGAGAAAAAGAGATAGAGGCAGAGAGAGAGAGAGAGACAGAGACATCATCAGGCCTGATGATGCTGCTTGCAGTAATAATTACTGGCGAGACGTCACGAGACCCGAATTGTAAATGTCGTGCGTTTACTCTCCAACACACAGCCGCTGTGTGGCTGTATTAGCAACGAACTGGGCCACGTTTTGTGTACGTGACAAACCCCCTTGTTCATTGGCTGTGTCGGGTGGTGGCGGGTTTCACGGCACAGCATTTGCATGTATGCCATCTAACCCTCTATGATGAACAACACCACAGGCTTGGCGTCCGAATGACACCCAATGACGCGAAATGCTGCCCTACGAGTTAGACATCAGTCCGCCTGCTGTACTGCCATAGTGCCCTGTCTTCGAGCCTCACGTGGGAAATTAATAAAACATTAAAGTACCTTTATTCTTGGTTCTTTCGGTAAAGTCACGTAGAATGAGAATATGACGATGAAACAAAATAAGACAATAAAATTCTCACGACGTTTCGGCCACAACACAAGTAGCCTTCTTCAGGTGAAGGAACAGAACTGTCGGGACGACAGCGCTTCGCGTTATTGTCTTATCTTGTTTTATTATTTTATTCTCATTCTACGTGAAGACTTTACCGAAATAACGAAGTAGATGAATCCTTGCAGTCACGAAAGCTTTAAATCGAAAATTAAAGTACCTTTATTCTTGGTTCTTTCGGTAAAGTCACGTAGAAGGGAAACAACAAAATAATAAAAAAATATAAAACAATAAAATTCTAACCACGTTTCGACTGCAACACAAGCAATCATCATCAGGTGTGAAAACCACAGCAAGACAATTTGAAAAAAGTGGCGTTTTTTTTTGTACAAACTGTCAAATCGCTCTCCGTGGTGCTAACGTTAAAAAAACCCCGCAACTTTTTTCAATTTTTCTTGCTGTGGTTTTCACACCTGATGATGATTGCTTCTTGTGTTGCAGTCGAAAAGTCGTGAGAATTGTATCGTTTTATATTTTTATTATTTTATTGTTTCCCTTCTACGTGGTGACTTTACCGAAAGAACCAAGAATATGAATCCTTGCAGTCACGAAAGCTTTAAATAAAACAATTAAAGTACCTTTTATTTTAACCAGCTAAGACCCCCTCCCCCCACACTGAGGTACTACGTAGCTCTTGTTCAGCAGCGAGCTGGATATCACAAACGATATCAGCTCAACGATAGTGGCTTGTCATGTGGAGATTTATAGTCGCCAAATACTCTGTGGCTCTTTCGGTAAAGCCACGTAGAAAGAAAATAAATTAATGGGATGCGACGTTTCGATCGCAACGCAAGTGGCCTTCATCAGGCGGAGAGGAAAGACTGCTGATAAGGCTTTGAAGCTTTCGTGACTGCGGGAATCCATAGTCTCTGGTTCTTTCGGTAAAGTCACGTGGGTAGAAAAATAATAAAATAATTTGTTTTACTTTTTTTTATTTTAGTTTGTTTATTTTTCTATCGTACGTGACTTCACCGAAAGGATCAGAGAGTATGCTCGTAAGTAAGGGCTTTCAAAGTGAGCAAAGCTGCGTTAAGAGCGTCAAAGCTCATCGGATTATTCCGGTACACAAATGCACGCTGCGATGACGAATAAGAACAGGTTTTTTTTTTAAATGTTTTCAATAATTTCTGCGAATAAAACTGGTGTTAAGACGTCCCCATCTGTTCCATCTGCGAGGAATCAGTTCCGGCACGAAGCGGACACGCTTTGGCTGGGTGGGCAGCTGCGTCACGGTGTAGCCGCTCACGCCGAGCTAGGAACAGGCCCTAATGCTTCTTTGGTTCTTTCGGTAAAGTCACCGCCACGTAGAATGAGAATAAAATAATAAATTGATAAAATAAAATAACACAATAATATTCTCACGACGTTTCGGCCACAACACAAGCGGCCTTCATCAGGTGAAGGGACGAGACTGTCTGGTAGGACAGCGCTGTCCTACCAGACAGTCTCGTCCCTATTATTGTTATTTTATTTTATCAATTTATTATTTTATTTTCATTCTACGTGACTTTACCGAAAGAACCAAAGAAGATGAATCATTGCAGTCACGAAAGCTTTAAATCGAAATTTAACCGCCTCTACGGGGAGGGATTCCACACATCCTTAAGATCACTCCAGCGCTGTCCTACCAGACAGTCTCGTCCCTTCACCTGATGAAGGCCGCTTGTGTTGTGGCCGAAACGTCGTGAGAATATTATTGTGTTATTTTATTTTATCAATTTATTATTTTATTCTCATTCTACGTGGTGACTTTACCGAAAGAACCAAAGAAGATGAATCATTGCAGTCACGAAAGCTTTAAATCGAAATTTAGGCCCTAATGCGTGTGGCCTCGCCCGTGCAACGTTCGCCTCTCGGACGTCGCTCGCTGCTCTGACACCGGTGGCGAGGCTGGCTTCTGGAGAATGCCGCGGCTGCTGACGCGTCTGACGTAGGCGACTCGGTTCCAGCGACGTGGCGTGACATTCTTGTCCGCAGCAACAGAGGTGAAAGCTTTCGTGACGGCGGGAGTTCGTATTTGTTGGGGTCTTTCGGTGAAGTCACGTCGATTGGTTCAAAGGGAATTAACAACAAGCAAAAAAAAATATTATAAGAAAAAAGTTACGACGTTTTATTTTAACCCCACCTCCGTGACTTCACCGTGAGACCCAAGAAGGACGATAGGGTTTTGCTTTGGAGGTGACATCGCGTGAAATATGAACGCGTCATTGAAGCCCCCACAATCCGATTGGTAGTAAGGTTTGGCACGTGATCGTCATCGTCATCGTCGTCATCATTAGAGCACGTGCTTCTGTTTTGCACGCGTCATCACGAGGAACCAACCCCCCCCCCCCCCCCCCCCTGGCTTTTGAAACTTTGATATTGGACGCAGATGTTGGGTGAAAGTGGCCTGATGTCGGGTCGGCCGGCCGCCTTTGTCTAGTCCCGGCCGCCTTTGTATCCCCACCCCCCCCTCCCCCCGGTGCTGACGTTTACACAACGCAAGCAGGCGCCTCGTTTCGAGGCCGAGTCTCACCTAGAACGGGGCCCAGGGCCGGTTCGGGTGATTCGTCACCATTGTTTGGCCGGGTTCGTAGCGAATACAAAGACAAAGATCCCCCGTGTAGCCTGTAACAGACTGTTGGGGCAAGTGCTGTCAGCGAGCACGCTTTGTCTTCCAAGTGGCGATGTTAACTACACATCGCACCAGGTACTCATTTGAGGCTGAGTTTACCTAGGG